TCTTCAATAATAGGCTACTTGACTCATAGGTATCTAGTTTCAAAGATAGAATGAGTATTTCTCATAGTATCTGCCTTAGGAAAATGAAATATATCGATTACAATTTTTTATAAGCGCAAGATGGATATATAAGTCCAATTTTAAAAAATATGGTTTTTATTTATTATACGAAACGGTGAAAACACTATCGGAAATGATGTGACATCATATAAATTGTAAACAAAGAGATATCCGTATATTACTCATGGACTCACGTTATCTACTTTAGCTATTTCAAAATAATCAACGTGAATAGTCATCGTTTTCTAGTTTTATTGGAAAAACAATCATTGGATTCGTAAAAGCAGAAATCACACATTTGCCTAAAATTGATACATTGATGGTTGGTAATTGTTTTGCCTTCAACTGAGATTTTTACTGTACTGAGCTGAGGAACATCAAAATTTCTATGACAGTATAGTGCATCTGATATGACGATATTCATAAAAAGAAAGAAAAATTAATACACCCTTTTCAGAAGTGATTCACTAAGGCCATGTGTCATAACCTCTGAATAATTTAATCTACTATTGTATTTCTTCTAACACAACCACAACCGTACGGTGACGATGCCGTAGGTTACGTCCAGCTCAAACGAGACGATAAAATCTACTCAGTAAAACGTGAAACACACAGTATTGCCTATATTTATTTTCCTGGGCACTCTAATACACAGCTTTCATGGGATCTTTATCGATATGTTTTTACATTTTCGGACGATACAATAACGATAATCACTATATTTTTCAGGTAATCTAATAGAAGTCATGTTTATATGTTTAAAAGTTTGAGATTTGAGAGGTTATGCTGCAGTCAGCTGCTGTTTAGAAACGGTATGACTTCAGCACACTACTATGTGCCAAACATGGCGGACAGCGTTTTCGAATGTCCAACAGAAACATATTTTTAAATTATTAATTAAAGTAGGTTAGGTCTGAAAAAAATATAGAATAGTTTTTTCAATCTAATAGAACAAATATTGACTATTTAAGAACTACTTGAAAAAGTGTCAGCTAGAATATTGTTTACAACCCGCGACTGATTTAAGCTCTCTATCTATTTGTGCCTCCTATGTATCAGGTATCCTAAGCTAAATATAATACAGCTTGTTCATAATGCTGCATCGACAAGTTAGTAATGCTTCCTTCATTCGAAGCATAGGAAATTGCCGTTCTGTGCAACCGCAGCTTAGAAATGAGCCATTGCTAATGAGCAAATTAAGCTTGAGCCTCGCAGCTTGTGAGCGCTTACAGATTCCACTAATTGTTTACCGACCCAACGATTCCTCTCGCACGCTCACCAGAGTTGAAGGGATCTATTTTACATGCCAATTACGTACTTCTCAGAGGAAACAATATAAAAACTTACTGAAGCAAAGGGGTACGAGCCCCTTCCCACTTCAGTTGGCCCAACTATTGAAATCTTAGTTTTTTTCTTATCAAACACAAATAATGAAAATATAGCAGGGTGTTATAGGCTTAAAATATTAACAATGAATATTTTGATAATATACAGTAGAAAACACCAACTTTATCCCTCCCTAATCAAATTTGCAGCATAAAAATAACACATGTTGGAATTACAGCATATCAACCTATTTTCATTTCAATGCAAAATAAGTCTATAACGCATAGGTGGCTGTGAAAAATAAAAGCCATGACAATTGTTTTTATTAATCACAGCTGTCAGAATACGTTTAAAATAGTTAAGGTTTTCAAAATGGGTAGAGGAAAGGTTATTAGTAAGAAAATTCGGTTAGTGATAATTACATTATTTAATTCTGGGAAATCAAACTCAGAAATTGCAACTTTGTTAGACTTATCGCGGTACAGTGTGAGAAATATTGTTACAAGATATAACGTAACCGGTTCAGTTAATATTAAGCCACGATATGTGAAAAAAAGTAATATCACAAATGCCGACCGAAGAGCATTAAGAAGAATAATCGTGAAAAACAGGCGTGCCAATTATTTACAATTAAGTGCTCTGTGGAGTGACGCTGTTCGAAGGAGAATTTCGAGGTCTAGAACTCATAGAGAGGCCCACAAACTGGGATTTAGCACTTGCAAGGTAAGTTTTCTTATATAAAAAAGTGAAGTAAAAACCCTAAAGTTGCACAACTTGTTTATAGGCCAAAGAAAAGCCACTATTAACTCCACTGCAAAAGAAAAATCGGCTTAAATGGGCTAAAGAACATAGACAATGGACACCTCAACAGTGGTGTGCAATACAATGGAGTGATGAGGTCCGATTCGAAGTTTGTGTTGGTGACAGTCGCAGTAGAGTTATTTGCAAAAAAATGAAGCATTCCAGGTTGACTGTCTGAAGAGAAAAGTGAAATTTGCAGCATCCATTATGGTCTGGGTCATCAAAAGGAGTAGGAAAACTTCATTTTGATGGAAATGTGTGATGGAAGAATGTTTGACATCCGGCCAAGATTCTGTGTTTCAATAAGATGGTGCAGCGTGCCATACCTCAAAAAAGGCTATAAAATGGATGGAAGAAAATAATGTACCACTTTTGAAATGGGTTTCTAGCAGTCCAGATCTGTCACCTATTGAAACTTTGTGGCACGAGACGAAAAAGGTTCTACGACAACATCCTGCTCGTACAATCACCGAACTGAGGCAAAAGCTTCAAGTAATATGGGATTGTTTTACACCAAATTTTTGCCAAAACTTGGTTAACACTATGCCCCAAAGAATTTCAGCCGTAATAAAAAATAAAGGTGATGTTACCCAATGGTAATCTTTCAATTGTTGCTTTGTTAACTTCGCGCATTTATTCGCACATTGTTTATTTGTTCAGTTATAGGTTTTGTTTAGTTATAGGTCTAAGTGATTTCAAATATGTATTTTTTACGACTAGAGTGTATCTAAAATGTTTTTGAGAAAATAAATTGTTTTAGAAATAAATAGTTTCGTCATGTTCAGTTTATAAAGGCATATTTTGGTACAAATCTTGAAGTGGGCCAACTGAAGTGGGAAGGGGCTCGTACTTTGCGCTTTGCTTAACACGCCTACTGGCAAGGAAGTATTGTAATCACAGGAAATTCAAAATATAGATATTATGTTTTAGGATGTTATATGACATGTACATCAGTAGCAGCGAATAAAAATGCTGGCGCTCTCGAAAAAACAAAAAATATAAAAATTACTAAAACCTTAAAACTTTCAGTGGTTAATGGACTTGTGATCAATTTCAGAAAAACATTTTGAAGGGTGATAAGTCGGGGGTGGGCGTTTTGGCGAAGTATTAGCAATCCGTCGGTAGCCAAGTGGTTAGAGAGCCTTTATCGAGATTCGATTCTTCACAGGAGGAATTTTTTTTTGTAATTTTTTTGACATGCACTTTTGGTTCCTTTTGATGGAGAATTCAGCAGAAGTTATCGATATTGTATGCAAAGAAATATTATGCTTATACATCCTTAATTTTTTAAATATTTGCAAGGTCGGCAATATAATACATAAGAAAATGTAACCCAGATGCGCGACCCAACAGCATGATCTGGCAGTTACCTGTGCGAAATCGGGACGGGCCGCTAGCAAGAGACAAACCTAAATTTCTAGATTGCAACATTGCCAAATACGCATGATATTAACTGCATGGACTTATTGGCCGACTGACTTGATACATTTAATTTCTTTATTGTTGTCCGTAGTTAACTTTTTTCTAAGAGGAGCTATCTGTTGCAAAACACTGCGTGGTAATTGCAGAGTTATGCTACTTGACATGATTTTTTCTGTCTTGATTATGTCTCATTCCAAGTTTACCTATTCAGTAGATTCTGTTAATTGACTTCGGCCATACTAGCTTTTATTTTAGGTCTAGTAACATTATCTTTTGTCAAATAGTTAATCAGGACGGTGGGGATTGTGTTTTGGTAAAATCAGTTTCATTGCGCGTCTCTTGGATTTGAACGATCATACCACGTCAACACCGTGTTTACAATATTTGACGTTATTATTTATAATTACATTTTTGGGCAAGATTAGTCATAAATTTTGTAAACTAAATAGCAATATAGTCCAAACAGATTTGAAGTTAGGCAAATCCGCCTCGAAATAATCACAACTATAGTTGTGAGAGACATCAGTAATATCATGGTCGTGACGTTTATTCATGTTAGCGAAAAATTATAAAAATATATAGGGAAAATGGGGACGAAACCGAAATCATAATCTGCTCCAAGAGAAAGCGTGCTTTCCTCAAATCAAAATTAAACATATTTATCAACAATAGATTACTTACACTTTCCCATTTTGTAAAGAATTTAGTTTATATTTGGATGAAGACGTAAGGTTCCAGGACCGTGTTAGGCATGTGTTCATGTCTAGATATCTCAGATTAACACTTCTATATGCAAATAGAACTATATTAAATGGAAAAATAAAGAAAATGTCATTGTCACAGAATAAAATAGCTCACTGCTGCATTGTTTATTATCCCTATCTGGATGAAATAACAAAATACAGGCTGCAAAAAATTCAGAATACATGATACCAGCCATATTTCAACGTTATTTCATGTACAATGCGGTGAAACTAATTCATTTGATAAAAGCTCTATTAGCAACTTTTCCAAAAAACCTATAAGAATTGTTTATTAAATGCTTAATTATTTTTTTCTCCTGTTTCAATTATTTGCTTGTCTTATGTCCCTTCCCGATCTGTCGGAGAGGTACTTAGGCCGTTTAGGCCAGGTGCTAGATTAAAGTAGTAATAAGCTTCATGACGTGGTTAACTATGAATGGTCAATGGCCAGACTTTTCACTATTGAATTTGTTCCAATAAAGTCGATTGAATTGAATTATTAACAATACATTTTTTTTTTGTTGCTGAATAGAAGAATGATGCTTAAGGATCCTTATGTCCGAATAAAGGTACCCGAACGATACCTTCAATCATCTAAACCACTCACCTTCCAATCTCGGCCAATCCAAGAGCGCAATCTATCAGAACCGGCCAATGAGCGCGGCGATCCGCACGTGAGCAGAGCACCGGCAACAAAGTCCGATTGACCCGGACGACACGAGTCTCCGAAGGGTGACAAGGATCGAGGTGGTACTAGAGGTCAATTTGGTCGTCAAGGTAAGGCTGGGAGGTACGAAGGTAAAGTGTTGGTTGGTGCGTGAGAAGTGATCCGTGGTGTAGGACGAGTGACGCGCTCTCAGCAATGCCCACAGTGGACTGACGCTTCGCAGCGTCGGGACGGTGAGCGTCGCGGTGAACGGATGCGCGAGAGCAATAGAGATGCTGGATGATGAAAGAGAGGGATGGGAGACGTCACTCTAATGACATAGATACAATGAAGGTGCGGTATTGTTATGATGAACTAAATTGTATGACATACAAGAAATGCAGCTACGTTATAGTCAAGCGGAATCACTTTATTGCGCGAGTCACTAGACTACACCGACTAGCAAGTTTGCAAGTACACAGGGCTGCGGCTCGCACTGTGAACAAATTAAGTCGTGAGACTGTGTACTTTGAATCCAACTGAAAGTGAAAATGATGGCTAGAGTACACAAGATCAGAAAACCAATAACAGCAGTTTTACGAGATGAAAAGAAAGAATCTTATAATACCAAAATTGATGACAGTAAAAATAATAGCAAACATATGTATGTGGACGCTGGATGATAAAAGAGAAGGATGACCCAACTAGGAAATATATTTTATAATTTTATACTGACCGAGCTATTTTATTTTATAGTTGCTCTGATACTGCTCCTAGAACGCAATTTTGTTTTAATATAATTGCCAGTAAAATAAGCTTTCAAGAAGTATTTTGCTTTATAAGGTATTCGTAAGAATGTTCTTAGAGAAAAAATACAAAACAAATTTAGGACAAATTTTAATACTGTTTTATAAACGTTTGCACAATAATTTCATACGACATTGACCTTAATGAACAATATATTATTTACAATCGATTTATACTGTTATTATCTGATACGAGTTTATTCCTTTGAGAACATCAATAAAATTGTGTTATTAGCGCTCTGTGGAACAATTATAAAATTAATCTATTATATTTTCTTAATGATATTGTCGCTCGCTGAAGCATGTTGCACTCTCGACTTCATAACTAGAAAAGATATTTTATAATTTTCAACTGTCCGAGATCGGTTAAATTAAGGCAAGAATGTGGATTTCAATGATTAACCATACCCAGTTTCAAAATTAAACCAATTTAAAGACGTTCCAGAATTTGGAAAAATGAATGCCTTATTCGCTTTTTAAATGTAATTGCAAATGCTTTTGTATCCTCACAAACTTTTTTATTTTATAATTGTATAATAATTTTTAAGATTCTATCTGAGTGCAATATGCTTTAGCAAACGATAATATCAGAAAGAAACTATCAACCATTAAAACCATTTTGGAAATAGTTCCAACCGAATAAACTCGTATTAGATAATACCAGTATACGTAAATCTATTATGAAACAAATTTGTTCAGTAAGTTTAAGTGTCGTATACAATTTGTTGTTTAAACACTTATAAACCAATATTAAAATTTGTCATAGACTGTCTTGTATTTTGGCTCTAAGAACGTAATAAATAATTTTTCTCCTATTTATCTTTCCTCAAGTTTTAAATTTCTTTCGTATTACCTAACACGGTTAAAGGACGACACAGTCCTTCTAGAATAACATTTATTAATTTTGAAAATAATTTTTGAACTTCGTCTTGTCCTATAACGTACCTTCCTCTTAATACCTTACGCAATCCCTATAAGGTAGGCAATACATGTAACGAGATGATTTTTCGATCGATCGTACGTCAATAATGTCAATCTCACTCGTCACTGTCGGCCTGCTTAGCACGTGGTGAAGATGTAGAAGTACTAGAAAAGATGTAATTTTCAAAGGATTTTTAATAATGGATAAATCTTCTATTTCTCTAAGTCCGTTAGGGGTTTTTTGGAAAAACATAGCTATGGTTTTCTTATAATTATTAATAGATTTTTTCCTAACTGAACCTCATTCATCCAGCTCTTTGTTCATTTACTACGTGGTCTCTTCCACTTTCGTCTAATTACAATTTCAGCAACAATCTCGCCGATGTCATTAACTTGTCTTGTCAAATTTTATATAATTTTAACCATTGTACCATGTATCCAGCTCTCACCATGTTACTGGACGTTTCCCTCATCCTATACGAAAACAACAATTAGCAACATCCTCACATACTACTCTCCTGATGATGATGGCAAAGTCCATTGAAAGCTAGAGAGAATTAAAAAAAGTATAAACAGTCCTCTTTGCTTAAATTTTGTCGAAATACCCAACAAAAAGCGGAAGCTTTAATTTTTCACCTATATATATATATATATATATGATAGCTTTCTTTTATGTTTATATTCTGTCCCGCGAAGGTTCGTTCATACAATAATAATAATAATAATATTTATTACCCTCATCAAACAGTATGTACAAAGTTTACAAACAAAAAAAACCTTAAGAGGATAAAGGCCGCTGAAGTGGACAGCTCCAAATGTTTCAAATTTAGGAAGAAGTTAATAATCGGGTGTTTTTTAATCTAAAGGGAACAATTTTAAACAGTATCCATGAACCAAGATGTGAGAAATATTTTTTACGTTTTCAATGCTGGTTTTATTATTCATTTACTTTGTTATTTCAAACGTTGTTATTTCTGTAAAGATCTAACTTTCAGGACATTCTGTATACAGGCAATTCAATGTGGATTTTATCATACCAAAACATCCATGTAATTAACAAGACTAACAATATTGCATATGTTATCACAACAAAGATGATGTATGTATAATAGGTAATATGATATATAAATACTCCCTATTGTAATTGATCATTTGCAGTTCCAAATTGATATCATGCATACGTACGGATTTACCATAAATGTTGCTACCTCTTGAATCTGACATGAAATTAACTTGGTTAAGTCCCCGTTCGATATCCGTATTTATTATCTGTTTGCATTTTCAACGTTAAAATCCAGCATCCAGCCTCGGCAAAATAATTATGTGGTGGGCATATTTACTAAATGCTGCAATACAAATAACCATTATGATATTGCTGTACAAGGTGAAAAGGTGTATTATACCACAGACATGATACTTTTGATAGCCATATGTCTAGATTACCTTTTAAGTGTTACATATACGAAAATTCTATATTTAACATTCAAATATAACTAAAGGGAAAATATCAAATTCATTAAACGATTATATGGTAATAAGAAGGGCAAAAAATAATGAAAGGAGTCTTATACATTAAATACTGTAACGAAAACACGTGTTCACTTGAAAAAACTGATTTATTACTACTCAACAGAATAACACCACTCATCACCAATTCATAAAAAAAAATAGCACAGAATTGCGGATCGCGCTTTACATCGACTGTTCTTCGTTGATTGACCCCTGTTTTTTTTTTTTTTTTTTTTTTTTAACGAGGGGGGAATGCATTTACGCACCATACCATAGCACGAGCTACGGCGTGTGTGGGGCTCCAGGGTCTTGAGGAGATCACCTAATACCCACTAAACCCTAAACCTCCGCGTGGCCCGACTCATCAGCGTCTCGGTAGGCCATGTGTTGTGCGTGACCTGCGGTCTGCTACAACGTCTCCTCATGTGTTTCAGTCTCTGGGAACGCCGGGTTGGTTCCCTTTACCTCGCACATTCTATCGATGTCGTTAAGCGATCATCGATAGAGGGTCTGCTAGTTTCTCTTGAAACTCTTGTTTTCGAAAAATCAAGAGTTTCAAGTCCTCTTACCAATATGTTGTTCCTGGTCCTGGTCCTGAAGGGTCCTGGTCCTGGTGGGTCCTGGTCGTGGCGGGTCCTGATCCTGGTTGGTCCTGGCCCCGGTGGGTCCTGGTCCCGGTGGTTCCTGGTCCTCTGCATCCACGTCGTGGGGTGGGGGGGGGGAGCAGCCGCAAGTTCTCCTAGTCTCCTAGTCAAGGTTCCAGTTAGCGGGTGCCAACTGGGACCTTGGTCTGGGGTACCTGGTTCTGCGGTTGCGAGGCCTCTCGTCCGGATCGTAGTCCATGAGGAATCGTAGCTGCTCGTTCGGGTGGTCCTGAGCTTTCTCGAAGGTCTTCTCCGCTTTTTTCCTCATGTACTCGTGGATGGTATCCCAATGCAGGTCTCTACGCAAGGTTGAGTTCCTTACGTAGGAAGGTGCATTGGTGGCGATCCGGAGTAGCTTCATCTCTAGAGCAGCAAGTCGCTTGCGGTAGCTGGGGGCAGCGTACCCCCAGACCGCGGAGGCGTAAGCGAGCTGAGGTCTGGCGATGGCCTTGATCAGCCGTAGCTTGGTCGCTAGCGGCATCTGGCTGTGTCTACCCAGTAATGGATAGAGTTGAGCCATGGCTGCTCTGGTTTTTGCGATGACAGCTTCTATGTGCGCTTTCCAGGTGAGGGACTTGTCAAAAACGATCCCCAGATATTTGACATTGTCGCTCCACTGGATATCTTCATCGAAGATGGATGCTTCGAGAGGTCTTGCAATCCTTCTTCGTTGAATGAAGATTGCCTGCGACTTCTGGACGTTGATGCGGATTTTCCATTTCACGCACCAGTCCTGGATGTGGTCCAGTTCATCCTGTAGTCTCCTACGGATGATCTCGGGTCGTCTATGCTTGGCGGCTATAGCAGTATCGTCTGCATATAGGGCCAGCATTGTGTCAGCTGTCTTCGGCACATCGTGTGTATAGATGTTATAGAGCAGGGGGGCTAAGGCTGACCCCTGGGGCACGCCTGCTTCCAGCTGTCGTCTTGTTGAATGGCATGTACCAATCTTCACCGTGAACCATCTTTGTGTTAGATAGCTCTGGATCAGTTGGCACATGCTCGCATCGATTCCGGCGGCTTCCATTTTGGCGATGAGTCCATCGTGCCAAACTCGATCGAAGGCTCGTTCCACGTCCAGCAGGACGAGACCGGTTGCCTCCTGGAGATTGAAGCCGCTGGTGATGTTTTCCGTCAGTCGTAGCGCTTGGAGTTCCGTGTTGTGGGAGGATCTGAAGCCGAATTGCTCTGGGGGGAGAAGTTGCAGTTCTTCTGCCTGCTTCTCTAGTCGAACGGCGATAGCCTTTTCGACTACTTTGCCCATCGAGGAAACCAGGCTGATGGGCCGGTAGTTCTGGGGCAACTTCCTGTCCTTGCCTGGCTTGGTGAGCATTATAACCTGGGCTTCCCGCCACCGCCGCGGGAAGTGGTTAAGTCTCAGGGTGGCATTGGCGATGTTGGTGAGCGCAGCAATGCCTTTGGTGGGGAGGTTCTTCAGCATCCTGTTGTTGATGCCGTCCCTTCCCGGCGCCTTTCTGACCTTCAACCTGCGGATGATCAGACGGATTTCCTCTGGACTGGAGGGGTGATCCGTCTCCTGGCCA